TTTACCAGTTTTTTCATGTTATAGTTTTTGATATTAATTTAACAAATGCATTAACAAAACTTTATCAATATATTTTAAATATTTGCTAAATTTGTAGAGTAATTCACGTCGAGTTACGAAGCTATTTTTGATAATATTTATCTATTTGTAAGAGCAATTAATTTAAAATTTTAAATGGTAAAATATTAGTAAAGGTTTAGTTAAATTTTTTTATTTTAAAAGCGTTCACTTAATTTCTTTCATATACTAGATGGTTGCTAGATTAAGCTAAATTTTGATAATTTACATATATAGATTAGCTTACAAATGAATTAATCAAAATGTGTTTTACTGTGATTTTACTGATTTCACCCCAAGCTTGAATCACAAATAATAACTTCTAGCGGTTCCAAACCAATTTTAATCGTTATTAAAATGGTATTATAAGATTTATTGGGACACTGCGTTTATTTATTAGAACATTGGATTTTAATTATAAAAATTTATATCAAAATAAACAAGAATTAAAGTTACCATTTTTAATAAATGTGGAAAATTAAACAAACATTATGCAAATAGAAACAAATTTATATGAATTCATATTTAATAATTAATATACTGTAACGTCTCTTTTTGTGCGATTTTGAAGTTGTGCGGTTTGTATTTCATCCAAAAATTTCTTGACAAACATACTGTACATATAGGCTTGTTTAGGAAGCCCGCGTATAGACAGTCTCCAAAAATCGTGGAACTCTCAAAGCTCACTCCATTTGTTCCACTGACATATAACGTTTATGGATGTAAAGGACAGCTAGATCTACCTTAATCGCTTTAGTTCCTAGCAATTTTTGATATAAATGTAATTAAACATAAAAAATACTTAAAATTAAAAAAACGAAAGAAATGCGTTAATTTTGAAGAAAAAGCTTCAAAGTTTAACTTCCTTTGTCTCGCCTTCAGTGAAATTTAACACCGATGAGTCATTGTTTACACATCTGGATGAGCTTGAACATAGCTGGAGTTGGATTTCCCGGAGCATTCTCATAGACGTCGCGGGAGGACAAGGGTTTAAAGTAGGGTGAACACTAGCTGGCCGTATATTTTTAAATATTTTTAAAAAATTAAAAATTTTATTGCGATTTCCGACTCCCCCTAATTAATTAAATTTATATAAAATAAAATATATTAATTTAAAAAATTTAAAAACTATTGGAAGTCGTTTTTGACATCAGAAAGCAGCTTTAAATAACTTTACCGAAGTCAAATCCGTGCACTACAACTTCAGAACAATTAATTAAATTTGATAAAAAAAACTCCCATTAAAAAACAATTAAGCCTTAATCGAGCCTTATCAAAGGCTCATTAAAATCGCGATAAAATTTTTTCACGCGGGTAAAAATTTTTGCAAAAATTTGTGGACCTAAAAAACATTCCAAAAATTGAAAAACGAATTTAAGCCTTAACTACCGAGTTTTTCGTAACGCTATGTAAACTTGACGAGTTATCTCGTTAATGGGCGTTAAGGTATAAAATTAATTTCTGCAAACTTTTATGCGGTTTTAAGTTAATTTTAACTCGTTGTTTTGGTTTTATGCGATTTTAGAAAATTACGGAACGTATCTCTACTTTTTCAAGGCAAGTAAAGTCTTTTTTTATGCGAATTTTTTATATGCGCTTTTCTGTAGAACGTATCCATCGCATAAAACGAGACCTTACAGTACTTTGTTTTTCTTTATTTATAACAGCAAATTTTATGATATATAAGAAATGTTTAAATGATATTCTTTTTGCGTTATTCATTTGTATTTTAAAGGGTTCAGTAAAGATACATTATTTTAATTTAATTAAACAAGTCAGCGGAACTAATGCCTTCAAAACGATTACGAAATTAAAAGAATATTTAAAAATTTAGAAAAAATTAAACCATCATTCAAAAACCACTTAATAATAAATATTTTCATTTTTCAAAATTTTCACTCCGCTAAAGGAAGAGAACTGATGAATAAGTTTCCTGGCTCGTTGCATAACGACAGAATCATCTACGTTCATTTTTAGTGTTTATCACAAAACTACAGCACCTATCACGTTACCACTGGCAGAAACTTTCCAGTATAAACCTCATCTACTGTCTGCCATACAGCCCTTATCAGAAAAGCCTTTCCTTTAGCTTCTAACGACAACTCCTAAATTTAAAATTGCAAAGTATCATCGGTGTGTGATAACCGCCGGTTACAAAACCAGTGTATTCAAGTACAATAATGCTCTTTCCGTTTTCATATCTTACTCCATCAAAGAACATAAGGAAATTCTTCAAAGCCACTTTCCAGTATTTGGGACTACGTATTCTTTACTACGATTCGGTAGCTCCCTTGCAATTCATCCGGTAATAACTAAATTTCCATCTCTAAGAAGGATATTAAACACAGACTAGTACAAGTATAAGACCCATGAAACAAACTAGAGCTAGCGGGAAAAATCCTGTATTAGGCGACAACAAAATCTTTAGCTAAATCGGCGCCGCAGCCAGAGTTATGAAGTGGAGTATCTCCGAACATAAAAAAGGGCAGAAAAAAGGAGGACCTACAACAAAACTAGCTTTCTACTTGAACAACGTGTAATGTCCTTTTGGACTCTAAAAACCCCAAGGTTTCTGGGCAATTCGACAAAACTGTTTCAACTCGAAACCATAAATATACGTAAACTTTGTCCCATAAATCAACCAATATTTATTTTGCACCAAGTACATGGTATTATAAGAGTATCTTCAAGTCTTATAATTACGAAGATGTCGCATACACTCCATTTCTTATATTTATATGTAGCTCCTTTTCTGTGACATTTCCTCCCATTTTCTGCTGACATATACAAATAGAACAGTTTGAAAATTCAAAATTTCAAAGCTCTGAACAACAATAGAATGCTCTGAGAAGCATTTTGTTCTTGTTGTACATAGTTTCATTATAAGCGGGATTCTTCAAAGCTGAATTTGAAGACTCCCGCTTATATTGGACAGGAATATTTTAAGTAGTGTATTTTGTTGTTGTTTCTCTCAGAAAGAAAAAAGAAATTTGTTCAACGTTGCTGCAAATTGTTTACTTTATCCTTTTCAAACATTTATCAAAGTTTCATCTATATATATATAATCGAGACGAGTTGATAATGATAATAATAATAATAATAATAATAAGCGCAGAGCCCAAACGGTTAGGAGTTGAAAGTTAAAATTTGGTACACAGTTAAAGTACATCACGAAAACGCACACTAGGAAGGGATTTTTCGAAATCCCCCCCGGGAGGAGAGAGACAGGATTAAGGTTTCGACAATGGAAGTGTTAAGTAACAATGGAATTGCTAAGAGAAAGCGACGTGCAAGACGCAGGTGCGGTTTTTTTTCGTTTTACGGGAAATCTAACATAATTTTAGATCCATCTAAAAAGTCTGAAATTAGTCTAGAAACAGGGGGAAACGATGCATTCTGTGAAAACGGATAAGATTGACTATAACGTAATAACCTTAATCTTCGCTATCGTTACTTTTGCCCGAGCAACGCCAGGCCTACCTGCTAGTTAATTAATATTTCACATTCGTGACGTTTTCTATTATTCTCTCCAATACATAATAATTTATATTTTGTTGATTTTCAGTTTCAGACATGTAGATATTTCAATTTCTTAAATACAGTACAGTAGACCCGCGGTAATCCGACAAATGTTTTGCAAGGCGGTGTCGGATGATCGAATTTGTCGGACTATAGAGTACTGCACCTGACCCCTTGTAATCTTTTTAAGTCCGGAACTTTTTAGAAAAGGAGTACCTTGTAATCTGACAAATTACATACTTATAAACATGGTAAGATCAAATCTATATGTACTACATAATATACGATATAGGACTTAGTGAATTAAACAACACAAAAGATAGCATATAGTTTATTATAAAATTAACGTCATTAACGCTATAGCACTTACAAAAAAATAATAACTAAACATATTGATGTCAATCAATTACGTACAACATATGTAAGTATTTTCAAGGTACATACTATGTTTGATCTTAATTTGAAAATGGATAAACAAATAAATTTATGGTGCATGCAAATATTCATCAATTTTCTTTTCTTTTACATTGGCTAAACGCGAGAGTAAGGCTTTGTCTCTCAGTCTCCTCAGAAGTAAAAGTTCGTTGTACGATGCACCATTCTCTTCAGCCCATTGCATACCGAGCAGCATATAGGCATGTCAGATTATAGGGGGTGCCGGATTAGACAGGGGCCGGATTACCGCGGGTCTACTGTATTCTCCTGTAAATCTTAATTTTAAACATTGAATATGTTTTACTATCTATATATTTGTATAACCCATTCAACGGGTATCCGTCTGTCCGCGTAACGGTATGATAACGGACACTAGAGGCGCCCTAGCGGATATTTTAAATTAACAATAAATTATTTTTATTTGTAATAGGAATTTATTATTGATACGAATTTATTATTTATACCACGGAATGGTATAAATAATTATTATATGCCTCGATTAACCTTGCGCCGCACGTTTACCACATCCCGTGACTCGGTGAACGTCGCGCATTGACTCACGGGAAATTTGTTGAAAAAATGGCGGATGCATTTAAAATCGAGGTTTACAGGCGAAAGTAAATGAACAAATTAAATTTTAAAGTATTTATAGAATGTTTAATATGTAGAAATATAAATCCGTATGACGCTATTGGGACAGTAAGATTTATCCTCCGAATGAAGAGGTGGCGACCCCCCTCTGTGCGAACAATAAATGTCTAATGAACCATACCCTACGCGCGGCCCTTCCCGAGATATAGCGCTCCGAAAATTATTCTACGTGTTACGTGACCGTCTGTTTGCCACAATTTACCCTGCGAATGAGCGGATCGGCGAACCCCCAAGTGTGCACGAGCGCACGTTAGTTCTTTTTTTCGCGCGGTAGGCTTACTTAATGTTTTACTTTTTTTACTTAATGTTACTTTGTACTTAATGTTTCGAAATCATGACTAGANAGACAATGGGATTTTCCCATACGCAATCTCTGTGAATTCAATGGCACCCTTCGCCAGGGCATCCGCCCTCTCATTGCCCATAATTCCTACATGGGCCTTAACCGATCTCACTTTAATGTTACTCTTGTTTTCCCTTATAAGTGTCTTTATTTCTATAGACAGCTGGCTGGTGTCAATATACTGTTGCATCGCTTGGATGGCTGCTCTGCTGTCAGTGTGTATTATAATACTGCTAGTTAGGCTGGAAGATATGCACCATTTTACTGCCATTAATATGGCAAAAAGCTCCGCTTGAAAAACTGAGCAGTGATCTGCTAGTCTATATTGTCCTTGATGGATTTCTGTTCCGTGTGTAAACACAGTGTAGGATGCTCCTACTCGATCTTCTATTCTTGAACCATCAGTAAAAACATTGGTATCGGCTATTTCGGCCTCTTCGGCAATCCCAATTGCTCCCCTTTCATATGGTTTTGGTAGTGCTTTAGCACTTGGTTTTCGTTCGTATAGCATACCATCGTATGGTATTCCATTTATAGTAATTGGTAGCCCTTGTCTACACATGTATTTCAGTGCTTGTTCTTTAATAATTAGATCTATTGGCGGTTAGCCCGCAATTACTAGAAGTGCATCCGTTGAGGTTGTACGGAATGCCTTCGTAATCCTGAGGAGCGCAATCCTTTGTGCACTTAACAATTTCTGTTTAATATCGCCTTTTTCTGCTGCTGTGTACCATGTACCCGCAGCATAAGCCATTTTTGGTATGAAAACACCTTTATAAATAATATGTATAGCTTCAGTGCTAAGGCCCCAACAAGAGCGGGCCACCCTAGCTAAGGCATTGAAGATGTTGGTGCAAGCAGTCCTTATTGTGGTCACATGTGGAAGCCACGTTAGGCGGTGATCAAGGACCACCCCCAGGTATGTTAGTTCTTTTTCAACTTTGATCACCTGTCCATCCATTTTAATTGATGGCACGCGTTTGTATAAATTGCGTGTGGTACCTTTAGTAAACACTATAGCTTTGGTCTTCTTAGGTTTGAAGTACAGCTTCAGCTGTTTCCCCTTTTCCAATATTGTTTCTAGAACTCGATTGCCTTTCGTTTCGATTTGCCTTCTTGAGTTAGCTCCCATGATTACTATCGTGTCGTCAGCATAGGCAAATTCCTGAATACCATCACCTTTATCAATTTTTAAGAAGTTGTCGTAGACGACATTCCAGAACAGAGGGCCCGAGTTGGACCCCTGCGGACAGCCTCTATTGAGAGTTTTACTAATGCTTAGGTTTCCTGCAGAGTATGTTATTTTCCTTTCCTTCAGGTAACTCTTAAGTACTTCATATAAGTTACTCGGGCATTCAGATTTCCTTAGAGTGCTTAGAATCAGGGGCCACCATGNGGTGTAATTGCATCCTTTCATTTTCATACTTAATGCATGTTGTCAGTAGATGTTCAAGGCTCTCTATGTCATCTTCACAATCACAAATACTTTCCTGATCTTTCCCTATTCTATTCAAGTACTCTTTAGTGTTGCAGTGATTGGAGTAGAGTTGAGTCCTCAGAAAATCCACTGGCAGCCATTTAAGATCTTTTATTCTCTCCTCAATACTGGGTAGCAGCCAGTATGTGTAACGACCTTTCTCACTATACGTCCATCTCTCCTGCCATTCTTCTATGGTCTGCTGCCTTAGTTGCTTTTTGATGAAAGACAATGGGATTTTCCCATACGCAATCTCTGTGAATTCAATGGCACCCTTCGCCAGGGCATCCGCCCTCTCATTGCCCATAATTCCTACATGGGCCTTAACCCATCTCACTTTAATGTTACTCTTGTTTTCCCTTATAAGTGTCTTTATTTCCATAGACAGCTGGCTGGTGTCAATATACTGTTGCATCGCTTGGATGGCTGCTCTGCTGTCAGTGTGTATTATAATACTGCTAGTTAGGCTGGAAGATATGCACCATTTTACTGCCATTAATATGGCAAAAAGCTCCGCTTGAAAAACTGAGCAGTGATCTGCTAGTCTATATTGTCCTTGATGGATTTCTGTTCCGTGTGTAAACACAGTGTAGGATGCTCCTACTCGATCTTCTATTCTTGAACCATCAGTAAAAACATTGATATCGGCTATTTCGGCCTCTTCGGCAATTCCAATTGCTCCCCTTTCATATGGTTTTGGTAGTGCTTTAGCACTTGGTTTTCGTTCGTATAGCATACCATCGTATGGTATTCCATTTATAGTAATTGGTAGCCCTTGTCTACACATGTATTTCAGTGCTTGTTCTTTAATAATTAGATCTATTGGCGGTTAGCCCGCAATTACTAGAAGTGCATCCGTTGAGGTTGTACGGAATGCCTTCGTAATCCTGAGGAGCGCAATCCTTTGTGCACTTAACAATTTCTGTTTAATATCGCCTTTTTCTGCTGCTGTGTACCATGTACCTGCAGCATAAGCCATTTTTGGTATGAAAACACCTTTATAAATAATATGTATAGCTTCAGTGCTAAGGCCCCAACAAGAGCGGGCCACCCTAGCTAAGGCATTGAAGATGTTGGTGCAAGCAGTCCTTATTGTGGTCACATGTGGAAGCCACGTTAGGCGGTGATCAAGGACCACCCCCAGGTATGTTAGTTCTTTTTCAACTTTGATCACCTGTCCATCCATTTTAATTGATGGCACGCGTTTGTATAAATTGCGTGTGGTACCTTTAGTAAACACTATAGCTTTGGTCTTCTTAGGGTTGAAGTACAGCTTCAGCTGTTTCCCCTTTTCCAATATTGTTTCTAGAACTCGATTGCCTTTCGTTTCGATTTGCCTTCTTGAGTTAGCTCCCATGATTACTATCGTGTCGTCAGCATAGGCAAATTCCTGAATACCATCACCTTTATCAATTTTTAAGAAGTTGTCGTAGACGACATTCCAGAACAAAGGGCCCGAGTTGGACCCCTGCGGACAGCCTCTATTGAGAGTTTTACTAATGCTTAGGTTTCCTGCAGAGTATGTTATTTTCCTTTCCTTCAGGTAACTCTTAACTNTTATGGTTTAGCCTAGTGACAAGTAGATTTGGAGACAAGTAAATTCGACTTACGTCGTTTTTCGACTTAAGTTGTTCTCCTGGAACCAATTACCGACGTAAGGCGAGGTATACCTGTTATTAATTTGATTTTTCAATTTGTTCAAATCTTTCTTGTAAAGAAGATACAGCTTTTTCTATTATTACTAAGAAATAATTTCTGTAGAAGTTTTTTCTGGATCATTTACATATTCATCTGCTCTTGCTCCTTCATAATCAAATAAACATTTATGTTTTCTTATTTTTACAGTTTTTAATTTGTTTAAAATAGTTTTTTCACAAATATTATTTGCTTCCATTTTAGATTTTAAAAAATCATTTTCTCTAAATTCTTTAAAAATTCCATCAACCTTTTTAAAAGCTTAGTTACTAAACTTAAATCACAGTTAGGTTTTTGTACAGTTTTACTTACTGTATTGACTGTCATTAATAATTCATACCAAATTGAAAATTAATTGCATGCCCAAGTAAGGAATCTGTTTCACTTTTTACACTAGAATACTCTGTCACGTCATTTAATTCTTCTAATGCTGTTATAATTTTGTCTAAATCAAATGTAACTGTTTTCACAGAATTTATTTGGCATTCCCATCTCATAATGGTTTTAGAGTTGAATTTATTAAATGTTTCATTAAAATAACCCACCTGTGAGCAGACGAGGAAAATAGTGTATACAGTCTCGAAAGTGTTCCAAAAAATGTCATAGCCAAGGAAGCCATATCACCTATTAATAAATTTAAATTGTGAGCAGAACATGAGAAAAATGCTGTCAGATTTTTTTTCCAAAATCCTTGCTTGCACGCCTTTTCTCTTGCCTACCGTGTTAGTCCCATTGTCATAAGCTTGTCCACGGTAATCGTTCAAAGAAATAGTTTTAAGTTGTTTACATAATTTCTCTGATAAATTAAACCCTGTAATTTTCAGCACAGGAGAAAAACCAATAAAATAATATTTAATTTCAACTTTGTTTCATTCTTGTTCGTCAGGCATTTCTACAATTCGAACAATGAGAGTCAATCGTTCAATACAATCTTTATCTGTAGTACAGCCTAACTGTACTGCATATTTAATTTTTTTTTTAGTATTTCATATTCAACTTTGTTTGCCAACAGATTAATTATCTCGTTTTGAATTTTCCAACCTAAATAATGATCGTTTGTTTCTTTATCTTTGATAAGTCTTATATGTTCTGCCATTCTTGCATCAAATTTTGAAATTAATTCCAATTAAACCTAAAAATTTACCATTATTTTTTGTAAAAATTTTTTGATTAATTCTACAAAGTGCATCGTTGCTTTTAGCTAAATGTTGTATACAAAATATAATCTTTCTAAGAACTTCATGCATCTGAATTTAATTGTCTTTGATGAAAATCATCAATTGCTTGTTCTTTTTGCAACCTGTTTTTTAGCTCAATAAAATCTCTAAGTGATTTTTAGTGTGGCAACGATAATTTATATTTATTTAAGTGAGTTCCAAGGTGCTTCCAGTCAGAAACACCTTCATTTACTAATGCTAAAGATGATCTTGAGAATTGGTTAGGACATAAATAGCAATAAAAACAAAATACCTTATATTTCAGTTTTGAATAGAGAAGCCAGTTTCTACAATATTTTTCTCCATTTAAATGTATTTTTGTATAATAAGATACATTAAATTTTCTACTTAGTTCATCTATGGAAAAATTGTAATTTGTTACTTGAACAATGTTTTTACTAATTAATAATAATCTGATTTTCTCAGAAGGGTGTGATGGTCATGTTCCAGGATCGTTTTCCTATATGGTTGATAATTCTTTAGTTTCCTCGTTTGCATGACAAAAAAATCATCTTGACCTTCATCATTTATAGCTCCATTTATGGCTCATCTTCATTCAATAATGAAGGTAATTCTTTGTATGTAATTTGTAACTCTTCTTTATTTTGTACACTAGTGCGTAGCTATAGCCAGATCGTTCAGTTTTAAAATATTTTAAAAGACTATCTGTTTGACAATTTTCTAAATATTTTTTATTTTTGACATGTTTTCTTTTCTGGCTACCACTTTAATAATTTCTATTTTTATCACAATCTCTACTCATACTCGTTGCTAATGTTCTGAATCCTAGGAAAAATAGAAAATAAAATTGAAATAAAAAATGAATAGAAAATAGAGATTAAAAAATTATATAACAATTGGAAAATTTGAAAAACTTGTGTCAGTAAGTTACAATCCCAAGTTTTAAAGTTATTATTACTAAAACAATGTTTTTCTCTGCTGTTTTTCAGTAATGGAGTGCTGAACAAAGTTAAATTAAAACACCTTAGTAAATTAAAAAAAGTACCATTAAGCAGCATAAATTTGTTCAACTTACAATTTATATTATAAAAACTATTTTTTTCTTTGATTAAAAATAGTCAAAATAATAATTTATTTTGATTATTTTTAAGGTAATTATTCTTTTATAAAAAAAACTACTAATAGAACACTAATAAACACAAATATATTTGAATTTATACATTAAACAGTTATTTCTTTAGTAGATCATAAAATCAATTAGTAGCAAAGTTGTATCAAGATTTATGAGATTTTTCCGATGTACCTTACAATTATACTTAAAAATTAAGTTTTATGTTGAAATACAAGTTGTTACATTTTAATTATAAAACACTATTATGCTGCATCCTCTTAAGCGTAGGGTCCGGGGCGGTTGCCCCAGTTGCCCGGCCTTGGGAGCGGCTCTGTGTAAGATAATTCCAATCATACACAATCTTTAAGGTTGGCGTTAGTAAGTTGGGATATGATTTTTGATTTTATAATATTCATGGTGAAAAATAAAGATTCACACAAATATGTGGAATCAAAAAATCAAAATTTGATTTTGAAGGCTCTTTTTTTCAAAAGCTTATACGTTTTATGATCAACTAAATTCCAAAAGTTTTCATTTGTATTGTGAGAGTTTAATATGATGTAATTTTGAAAATCTAAAATCTCTTCTTCAATTTTTGATGTTTCTTCTTGAAGACGTTTTGTTATAGATTTAGCAGTTTCAGTAATGTCTACATATGTAGTAAAAGGATTTACAAAAATGTAGCCATGGGTTTGATAATGGTAATTGCTAATTGCTGGAATCTACTTTCAAACTGTTCCAAAAGTTTAAGATGAATAATAAATAGTATTAGGTGAATTATTTTCACCAGTCACTTTTTTCATCCTTGGAAAGTGTACAAGAGAATTTTTTGACAAATTATTTATCCAAAACTATTTTGGCTTTGAATGCCTTTATAGAACTAATCATTTCAGCTAAATGTTTATTATTCCCTGGAGATCCAGGTTTAAACTGTTCAATTTTTCACATATGTGAGTTAAAAAAAAAGCCATGTTCACCAACCATTGTTGGCTATCTAATTGTTCAAACGTTTGACCTTTTGAAATAAAGGATTTTTTTTTTCTTCCAAAAAATCAAAAAAATCAGCCAAGTTTTTTGCATTTACTTAACCATCTTATATCTTTATGTAAGATAAGGTCAGCTCGGGAAGATTTGTCCTTTTGTACAAGGGCTTTAAACAATTATGTGGTAAAGGATTTGCTTGAATTTTGTTAATTATTTTAACAACAACATTCATAACATGTACAATGGATAATATTTTGGCACATAATGAATCTTGATGTATAATAAAATAAAATTCGACTTACATGAGCCTGTAACCGATGTGAAACGGCAAAAAATTTTAATTCACAAACGTTTTCTGAATACCTTCCGTGTTCTTCCTCAGGTATTCTATGAAATTTTCAAAATAAATTTAAAATAAAACGAACGATGATAGTTCGAATGCGCAATGTCTATTGCGCATGCGTTGTACACATCGTGTTCCCTGTTGTTCGGCTTCTCATTAAATCTTCTAATCCTCATTTAATTTTTTCTCGTTCTTCATACAATGTAATATTCCAACATTTGACGTCACATGTCCCCCGCATCGTCAGATATTAGATCCATCTTTACGCGTCACTATGTAGAACGGCTTGCCACGCAAACGAAAGAGCCATCTCCTCCCGTGAATTAATGCACTCAGATGTGGTGTGCGCCTTATATATCTCCACCGTCTCTAACCATTTGAGGTGGTTCATCTGTGTTGTTTTAACTATTAACTTTGCCCCTGCGAAGTCAACCGTAATATCAGGGTCAGAAGCATAAACCGAGAGTGACGTGGTG